GAGTTCAATATAAAGATACACATCTTCAACAAGCAGCTGCTTCTCAATTTAATTTGCACAGTTTTTTCATGCTCCACTGGTGTATTAAATGCTGCTGCACTCTGTAGGAGTTTATCTATGATAAACCCAACAGCTGGCTGCTTGCTTCATACTGACCTTCTCAAAATGTTTTAGTACATGTCACGCAAGTATTACAGTATTACAGATTTAAACTGCCATTTCAGTGTGATTGGCACACAAGTGTCTCATTTCCTCAACCACCTATATGCGAACTCCAACCTGAATCTTTATTAAAAAACATACAGAAGTCAGTCAAGTTCACAGCTGAGGCAGTTTCAGCTGCATTTAATACCAGTTCTAAATATTTTCCTGCTCATTTGTTTAGCTGCACATGTTTTAGAACCTTGTAATTAAGACAAATTGGGTAATCAAAGAAGAATAATCTTCCTTGTTACTTTAGCATCCATTTTGCTTGGAGCAATGATGACAGATGTTGATTAGGGAAGAAGAAGAAAAAAAATCAACCCAAAACAAGGACAGGACAAATTTCATATTCTAGGACAATACTTTTTGGAGAAAAAAAATAAGATTTTAAAATCCATCTTTATGTTCATGAAACTGGGAAGATATGAAAAAAAAAGATTCTTTAGAGAAAGTAGGCATTTCATTAAAGTAACTATTCACCTTTCACTTATCAGAAAGAGAAATTATTCTGACTCGATTGTGAAGAGAAATTGAACAGGTTTGGCTTCACCTATACGTAATTTCACATCACAGCACTGATGGATATCTAACATAGCTAGACATCCTCTAAAATGGTGGAAGGGGGTGGAAGAAGGAGCATTTTGTTATTTAATATTTATACTACAGTAGTGCCTAAAGGCCATAACTAGGTTGGGCTCCATTGTGCTACACACTATAGAAAAATAGTAGTGGACAGTCTCTGCCCAAAAGAGCTTACAATCTAGAAAAATTAATTATGATCGAGTCATGATACCCATTCTTACTGAAGACTGAAGCTTCCGGACAAAGATCTGGAGTAAGGGGATGAGGGACTTTACACACTGAATCTAACAGTTCTCTTGCACATCATCTGTGTTCTTCAGGAAGGAAAAAAACTGACCAGCCTACAGGTTGAGAATCAATTTTTTTTAACTCCATATGCGTCACAATGTCTCCATGTCCCTTTCAGCTTTTCCCCCTACTTGTTACTTGAACTAGAAATGCTACAGAGGTTACTATGCTTGCTTACTTTCATGCTCTGGACCTATCCTCCATGGGTCCAAGATTGCCATAGCAGACATTTTCTGAAATCAAACAAAAGAAGTGAGCTGGGAGGGTCCCCTTAAGTCAGCAGTCACTAATGGAGAGAAAAATCTTATCCAACTATGTTGCCACTCTGTGCAGAGAACTAGTAAAAGGAAGAAATGCTCCCACATTAATCAAGTCCACTCTGTGTATACAAAATATTTAAGCACTGTTTGTGGTTCATTATTTTTATAAAGTATGTGACCATGTAATTAAAGACTGTCAATGCACACATACAAGAGGGATGAATTAAGGTTGCATACACAGCCTTAATGCTGGCATTACCTAGCTTTTGAGCACTTACCTTGGCAACCTTAATGTTCTTTTTAGCATAGGCTGTGTGCGCGCAATTTATTCTACTAATATTACTACTACTACTTTTTTAAATTCTGTAACTGCTAATTGTGAGGAACTGAATTGTTCCAAATTGTGCAATGGTTTTAAAATGTAGACACAATCACTGGAGACTAGATTAAGAACAAACTTATTATCATTATTTATTGTTATCAAGACACTTCAACTAAGGTCTCTGGAGGTGTTTGAGACCCCAGTCTTGCTAGTAACTTAAACATGTGCCCTAACTTTATGCATGTGAGTAAACCCATTGACTACAAGACCTAAATCATTGGTCTATTTTTAAAAATGCCATGGTGGGCAACATTAAAGATTATGGTTTCCAGTATCAAGCTGCTTTTCTTTGTAGGTAACATTTTCCCCTCTTCCCCAAGACTTAAGTCATAGTGTGCAGAATCCTCCCTGATATCAAAGATAAAGGGGAGATATGACCCTAAGAAAGTTAAAACAGTAGCACAATTTTACCTGCAAGAATTAAACCCATTAATGTTATTCTCAATAACACTATATTTATAGAAGGTGGAAAACTCTTTTTGTTACATAATGCTGTTTCTAAGGGCCTCATTCTGAATGTGTTCATTTCCCAATGACTGCAGGGTCACATCACTAATGTAGTAGCATATGTAGAAAACTGAGAAATAAGTTGGGCGGGAAAGCTAAAAGTAAGATGAAACAAAGTCCTTGGCTGAGAGAGAGAGCAGAACATTAAGCAGACGGCAGGGAGAAAACATAGCTATGTTCTTAGAACACATTATATACAAAACATGCATACAATGTTTTATAGCACTTGAACTGAAGAATGAGAGCATACCTGCGACAGATAGGGAAAGTACTGAACAGTGTAATTAAAGCTTTTTTCAGATGAAGGGTCTTCCTTTGAGTCATAACACATATGCAAATAATTATCAACAAAGGCAAAACGCAAACTTATTGTCTTTAACTTTGCAGTTTTTACTACTTCCTTATATTTTGTGCAAATATAACTGTATCACTTTTGTAATACCAAAATGTTTGGCTCTCAAAAGCAATTGAGGGAGAAAGTTATTAAAACCAGCCTGAATTTAAGCAGATACCTGAAAGTGGAAAAACTAGGCACTTTGATATACTTTGCCCATGCCATTATTTACTAATAAAGACCCTATTTTGTTGTACAGTACATAGCTGATTATACGAGCTTTAAAATATACAAAATGAACCATCTCTCTGTGAATGCACACTGAAATTGTGAAAGATTTCACAGCCATATATACTGCTAGGATTTGAAGGTTAGTGTGCTTATAGTACTTGAAATAATAATACATATTTACCTGGTTCTTTGACTCATTCATCATAATCACTAATAAGGTTCCTCAGGACTGTTACACCCATGCAAGTCCAAAAGACACAGTGGCTCAGCCTGGATTAAAACACTATCTTGACATTAATGTCCTTGCCAACTATTTGTACTGTCTTCCTCTGCTAAGATTAATCACTGAAGTGTTGATAGCAGGCCCAGCATCTGAAAACCCTCCAATTCTTTGAATATCAGACAAGTTTCAGATGTGTGGAAGCATATGTGCATATGGTGTGGCAACAGCAGTGACCTTGATGGTCAAAGATATCCTGCTGGTCAGAGGTCAGTCAGCATTGCTAATTCTGCCAGGATTTTTTAAAGGATTTATTACCATCAACATCCAGAGTTCTTGACTTATTTTTTGGATCTGGTAGGGAAAGAAGAAATCACTTTAGAGTGGTTCTGTTCTTTCTTGTCATAGATCCCAGAGAATACTGATGAGATAGTGCTATTCCTGTCTAAGTGCTCTCAGCTGGAGGGCCCTACGTGAGCTTAATATTGTTACCCCACTTGATCAACATGGAAAGCTATTAGGGGAAAACAGAGAGGTAATAGGAGATACAGACACCTGGACTGAGACATTTATCCCATTATCTGGCAGAGATCATCATCAGCATGAAAGGCTTAAGCAGAGTCTAGACAAGACTGAGGTAATGCTGACTGACAGGAAGCAGCACACAGAGGAAAATGATGAAGTCTATGAGCAATCCCATAAATTATTATATTTGCTTGCCATTTGTCAAAGTGGTCAGCAATCTCATAGTCTTCTGCATCTCTCAGTGATCAGAAAAGTGTTTTTCCATCTTGGGGTAGCCAAAAGTCTGTTTTTTCATTGCTGGTGCAGGCTTCACTACATTCCTACACGCCTTTGTTACCTCTAGAATAGTACTTCAATGCACCCTATCCATGTCCAACCACAGGTGCAACACAAACTCCAGCTAGTGAAGAATGGAGCTTTCTGCCATGTGATAAAGGCGACCAGCAGGGGCATATATATTATAAGGGTGCTCCACACTACACAATGGTTATTAGAAAACTTCTGGGTAAAATTCAAGGTGTTGGTTAACATCTAAAAAACCTTAACTGGCCAAGGCCTAACTATATCAAGACCTCTCTGACTAATCACACAAGCTATGTTTGCCCAAAACACTTCAGATAAATTATGACAGGGGTGAGGTTCGAAGAAGCTAGCTTTTGGTAGCATAGGCCCACACCTTCAGAATTCATTGCTGCCAGAAATTAAACTAAACCCAAGCCTGACTATATTAATGAAACTATGTTATACGTGCCTTTGTTAAGGGTTTTCCATAATTGCTGGTTCTCTTCTCCTGTCATTTAATCTACTGATGAGGTCTTACTCATATCTCTTTTTGAAGTCTTGAAGTGGGGTGGGGACAGTTCCACTGGTATTTAGCTTCCTACACATGGGTAATGTTTTTGCCTTAATCTAAGCTCTGTTCCAGATATTTTGGTGGGGAATGCAGTATAAATGCTTGAAATACATAAAATAAGTAAATAACTTTCTACTCCTCTAATTTCCTTGACCCTTTAAAATATTTTTTCCCTAAACTGAGCAAGAAATTCATGGCCATGAAGGGAAGATTTCTCAGTATTGATTAATGTATGGGAACAATGTATGCTGACTGCATATATCAATGAACATCAAGATGTATTGCCTCCTGAACTATATATTGACCTCTGCTTCACCTCAGTCTATTTTTAGCTTATAGGGCAATAAACTTCGATGTTCAAATCGACCAAACAATATCTGCTTCCTATTACATAGGGCATAAAGGATATTAAAAGTATACAAAAATTAAATGTTGGACTAGAAAATACAAGCATTTTTCTAAATCAAAATGGGGAAAAAAAGATCAGCTCCAATACTATTGTCCCCTAATGAAACTCACAGGAATAGGACCAGGATCATGTATTACATATTTCACTTTTACTTTTAAGACTATGTGGTAATATCAAGTTTGAATAATCGCTTCTGAAACCTGACCTGCCAGCATCTGTCTCCTTGAAGATTCCATCTTGATTGGGACATAGTTCACAGCTAGGAGATACCCCACATTTGCATGCATCACAAAACCAAGGTTCAGTGGAGTTTTCTGAAGCTGAGCTCATAATAGAATCACTCTCTCCGTCAACACCATAGCAACCTACAGACAGAGAAAATAAAGAGCAATTGAATACAAAAGGAGGTACAATTATTTCAAAACAGACTTCAAGGGACAGATTTTCAACCCAGCCCTAAACAGACTTTATGCAAGCACAACTTTGCATCCACACAAAGGCGAGTATCTGAAAAAAAATCTAGTCCTTGAAGGTGACTTGCAAAGGATTTTTTTAAAATTGGGCTTTTGATTTTTACTTCTCCAATATATACAGAAGGCCTGAAAAGTGTTTGTTTATATGTAAAAACATGTTTTATCTGTATGATTTGTATGTTTTTTACCACAAAAATACCAAGACTGTCCAGTCTGGTCTGCCCTAATTTGGTAAAATTTTAAGGGTGAACTTTAACATCGTAACTGAAGGGATAAGAGTGTTGAATCTTTAATAAAGGCTTCCATTATTCAAAATGTTAGTCAGTAAAAATTAAATTGGCATTAAAAAGGGATTTCAAACAGCAATTAAAAATCCTCTCACTTTTTTAACTCATTATGTCATGATTACATTAGTTCTCCAGTCAGTTTACAGTCTCCCTGACAGGCAATGACCTATTAATGTAAAAATAAAACAATTAACTTTTCAGGCCTTCTTTTTTGTACATCATAAATAAAAAAGGGCATAAGCTATTTTTTCCCCTTTCCAGGTCACCTTTAAAATGAAAATGTAGAACATGAATAAATCATCAAAGCAAAAACAAAATTCTAAATAAGTAAATGTAAGTTTATAAAGATGTCAAAATATTTACAAACAGTACTTATACAGACATTTCAAATTGGAGTTCAAGGGTATTTTTACTAGCATTATTGGGAGTTCCCCCTCCCATTAGCATCCAGGACACAAAAGAAGGCATGTTCGTTTGTCCCAAAGAACATTCCAAAGGCCGGGGCACGGGTGGACGGGAGGAGAAAGAGGAATAAAAAGTAAGATGGCCAAGTGGTGACTGCCCACACCTTAAAACAAGCTTTTAATGTTGTTGTTTTTTTAAAATTTGAAGTATTCTACACACATGCACCCCACACCACTGCAAAATAGTCAGCTGTTAGGTGTAATGGTAGAGAGAGGACTTTAGGAGACTTGAGAATGAAAGGAAAATAGCCTTATGAACCAACTCAGGAAAAGTGTTCAAGTATAGAGAGCAGTATGGATGGAAGTGCAGACACTACTGTAGAAGTGGACAAATGACATGTCAAGGTTGGCATAACTGGCAGAGGAAGGGGAGAAAAAGTGGGGGAGAAGGTGGGGTAACATGAAAAGAGATCTGAATGGATAAGTTATGAGAGGCAGTGGTATTCTAGGACTTTTCTAATAGAATTTCCCACGAGATACTACAAAACTGAAAATTGGATGCAGGATTTGTAACTGCACACTGAAAATAGCAAACATCTTATTTGATAAATACACAGAGAACAGATACTCAGAACATTGGTTTTTACTTTACCTTTCCAATTTAAAATTTTAAAATAGATTATGCTCTTTATTGACACTTTATCAAAAATAGCCAGCAAAATTTGAGAGCTGCAAAACAGTTTATTTTATCCATCAACAGAAGTTCGCAACAACATTACAGCCATATAAATGGTCACTGGTAACAGCAATGTGCTGTATAAATAAATCAAGGTTTTAAAAACAAACATACAGTGCAACAGATCTGGCAATTTTATGCAATATATATGAGAAATCATACTGTATTAAGTTTATGCATCATTGTGGGCCAGTGATTATATGTAATTGCCTAGGGGAGAGTGAATACTGCCCTCAAAGAATTAAGAACAGTGAGGGATTATTAGGCAAATTCTCTCAGGATGTAAACACCGCCAGTGAGGTACCAGCACCGGGAGAGGTTTGCACATAGTGGTGGCAAATTGGATTCTCCAGAGACTAACATACAAAAAAAGGACTTTTGGATAAACAGCCTGAATTTAAACGGACTCAGGGCCTTCTTTATGATCCAGCAAACTGACAAAACCTTTTATCCAAGGGGGAGTCCCAGTCCTAAGGGAAGGGTCTAAAGGACTGACTCCTGCCAGAGCTCCTGCTGGAGTCGGGGGGAGGGGAGTGACTTCTGGTAAGTTTTTTTTTTAAGCATGTGTGTAGGTTTATTGTTTATTTGTTTTCTCTATAATTGCTTTTACCTTAAGAATAAATGTGCTTGTTTAGAAAGACCTGTGTGGTAACGTATAGCAATGGGCAATTACGCAGTTTACAGCCTCTGAAGAGAAAGCAAACCACAGACGCTGGCCATTTAGGCTATCTGGCTTGCTGAGAACAACAGTGTAGGCAAGGAACTTTTCAGTCTGCAAAAAACCCTGGTCAGTAGGGAAAGAAATATAAATCTCCCCTCAAGAGAGATGACTGCAAGGGAGGTGGAGGCCTAAAAGTAAGAGCCCTAGCTGCACCATGTGGGGAAAAACAGAAGCAGTTGCCCTGAATTTTGACAGGTAATATGTATCATATTATAATAGCACAGAATATTTAAAAGTTGTGTACGTGTACTTGAAAGAAATCTAACTTGCCTACAGTTACTTTTTTGGAATGTTACACAAACATGGAATGTTTTTGAAATGTTACACAATCTTCTTTATCCCAAAAATCTCATATATGTATCATGTAAAATTAGGCTCCCAGGTAGGATTTGCAGGGCTCAGGAAATGTAGCAGAAACACCCCCACTGCCACATCAGACCTATAAGGATAGTGTAGGCTTCCTTGTCTACGCTCATTCTCTATTCTTGCCTAAAACAGCAGGGTTAACGGACTATCTCCTTCCATTCTGACATCCCCAAAACAGCACAAATTAAAAGGCTACAGATCAACAGTGGGGAAAATCAAAGCATAAAACATACAAATATATTCAAATCCACCCTCTTCATACAGTTTTAAACTCCTCATAGCTCCTGATTCCCCTTCCACTCCCATCACTAATAAATCACTTAGAATGATCTACTTAACCTCTTCCAACCCATCGCTTCTTTTTCGTAAACAGAGCTTTCTCCACCTTCTACTTACCACATCACATAACCACGTCTACCATTCTCCCTAATCATCACGTGAGCCTACGTTGCCCTTTCCTTCTCCTGCACCCCACTGCCCTCTCCCTTATCAAGACAATAAGTCAACTGTACAGAAGAAATCTGCTCAAGTATTTTACACCATTTGGAATCAAAATTATAAAAAAGGTAAGGAGGGGTCACCAGTTTTTAAATGAAAACATATGTAAAATGCTTATGACAATTATACCAAAGTTCTCCTTAAAATATATATTTTTTTAAAACCCAGTTTAATAATAATTAGTCATAGCTGGATTTTAGTTGGTCTCAAAACATGTCACAGTATTCTCACATTTGTGAGAGTGTCTCCTGCCAGAACAATTAAAGCCTCAGTTACAAAGCTGCTCTAACCATCACGATGCATTCTATGGCCAAAAATTAAATATAATTTCCACAAACTTTTCTTTGTTGCCCAAAGGGCACGCCCTTAAATGCTGTTTATTCAGTTACATTACAGAAACTGGGGAATTTGCATGAGCTCTTCTGACATTTTAGGTTAAAAGAGAATGTTAGAACTGCATTAGTAGTGAGCCACTATTTCCTTTCTGAACACTATTTTTCTCAATTATGAAGCTGCTTAAGATACTCCGACTTTTAAGCAGTGGAATTTTAAAGACCTTCTGTCTTTACTGGAATTTGTCAAGTTAGAGAACATTAACTTGCATTTAATTTTTTCTTTTAAATTTGACTTGTATTTATCTAAGTTCTCAAGCATAAATCATGGTTCATATTAACAAGCATACTTTATACAGTCAAATTAGAAACATGTCCAACAAATTGATGTAGTGTTTACATTAGTATAGTTTTACCATTTTATATTACATTTCACCTTACATATGGTAGCTCTTGGCATTGTAATAAAGCAAACTAATGTTCAGAGATGAGTGGGTTAAAGTTTTAGTTAAAACAGACGTTTCATTAACAGTGCAGAGGTCAATGTGGTGTGTTATAGCTCAGATACTGTACAGATGGACATACTAGGAATACCTAGATAAACAAAACACAGCTGAACAGATCTGTTAGTCTTCTCTGCATCAATTTGTACTTGTCCTCAAACATCCCTCATCATTCACTGCTCAAAGGCACCTAAATTGGAGTCCTTTTGCTTTTATTACTGAAAATTACTTACATCAGAAATTAAAGAATCATGAAACAAGTTTCAAAATTTAGTTAGACTAACGGATTAACTACCCTTGTTTTAAATTTTCCTGCATGAATTATTTTTGTCTCATTTATTTTCAGTTTTGTCACACATTAGGGCCTGGGCAGGTTGAGATGGTATGCTTGTTATTACACTGACCTATATAAATTGGTAGAAAATTTCAGTGAAATAGAAATTTAGGTACAAGCAACTTCCACCAAGCACTTAGGAACATTTGTTTGCAATTAGAGGCCTTGTTTGAAACTGTTAACAGCTGCATTTCCATATCTCCCTGAACTTTTTCAACCGGATCAAGGAGATTTTCTTGTATATATTTCTCATGAAACTTGTTTAATTTATTTCTAGGCAAAACATAACTGAGAATGTTTTGCAGAGATTACTGTCTTTTCTTATACAACCTAGCCATTTATGTAGGTCTGAGAGCAATGGAACAGCTTATGAGAGTGCCTGAATTGTTTGCAAGAATAAACTCTTATCTACAAAAACAGATGAAATCCCAGAATATTTGAAGACAATTTGGTCAGGGGGAAAAGGGGAAGAGGAGGGAGTTTACAGCTGTAAAACAAAGAAAGGTACCATGAATCCTGTCAATGACTTTACATTAGTATAACAAACAAAATCATGATATCTATAGAAACAGAAAACTAAAATACACATTTCCATTCTCCTTTCTGGTTTTACCAATAAAAAAGTAAACATTTTCCTTGTGAATTTAGCTAACATTTCAGAAAAAGCTATGTTTTTACAAGGATATATTCAACTCAAAATTTACATTTTAA